ATGAGCATTTAGTTCCACGATTTAATTAAATAAGATTTATGGATAACATTGAAGCCAGAGCGAGAGCAAGTCAGTTAAATATATACATATAGCATGTACTCAGTTGCAGAGTCCAAAGACTCTCAAAAAAGAAAAACTCGTATCGTCGCTTGCTTTGGCTGTGCGTTCAGATATATACAGCTATATAGCCGACATTTCCACTCCTCTCCTCGTAGGCGCACATTCGGTATACCCCTTCCACGCGTCTCCAAAATGTGCGCCTATATGGACATTTCCACGCGAATCCACTCTTCTCATACCCCTACCGTGCTGCTCAAATAAAAAAAAAAATGTGCGCCTGGTTCGGCCGCTTGGCCGCGGCGGGGCGCTCGAACCACTGGAAAAATGTGGGCACACTCCGTAGCATGGCAGTCAGCAATCTCCCTACTAATCTCTGGCAGAGTGTTGCAACTGTATGAACTGCGCTTGGGGCTTAAATGAACCCTATTCAATAGAAATGCGTACGATTTTGAAATGCTGTTTATTTTGATTAACATTAAATAAAGTTTGTGAAGCAATTATTGGAAATACGTTCTGACGAGAGCTTAGTGTTCGATCAATAAAACAGGTTTAATTTTTTATGTTTCATTTGTTATAGAATTTGAGAATTTTGACCATTAGCCATTAAAAGATTAACATTTAATGGTTGAAAACAAGTCAATTATCCAAATGACTCCAGTATTGGTAAGATTTTGCAAAGAAGTATGGCACAGAATAACGTAGGTGTATGTAATAAGATCTTCATTTTGCTTACAGGATGAATACTGGATTTGTGAGAGATTGTTTTTGAAGTATGAGGCACCAATTTTAGTTGATTCTCAAGGTAAGTACATCACAGGGGCAAAGGAAAGATGGCTTGAACTTGTCAGATACATTTATGAAGATGTAACATGGTTGCTCTTGCAACCATCTTGCAGGTAAACCTATGTGGTAAATAAATATTTTAAATTTAACCATTGTTTATATGACTATTCTTCATAGGTTTTGGTCTTGTGTCATTTATAACTCATCAATTATTGATTCAATTGTCATTTTCTTGCAAGAAGCCCCAACTCCATACACTTTGAAAAATTTTCCAGATGATAATGATATTAAAGAACATTTTGATAAACTTAGAAAAAGTATACTGCTGGTATTAGCTAGATTCATGTCTAACCAAGAAACTGCTTTAAATTATATTGATTCCGTTAAACATGCGTATTTACTGTACAACAAATACATACTGACTGTTCCGATCCTGATGGACATATGTCAGCAGTATGGTCAGGATAACAGAAAAATTATTGAAAAAATTGTCAATGAGGCATTTACAATTCAACCATTGTATGAAAAGGATTTGGAAAAAGTTGTGGAATTCGTTGTGAAGGTGAAGAAAAACAAAAAAAATTTTTCTCTATAAATAAAAAATGATGAATCTCTATAATGCTGTATTGTAGCACAGGTCTTACAAAATGTAGAAAAAAAATTTGAAGATTATTCCGTAAACCAAATAGGTAAGACTGAGCTGCTTTCAAAAAGAGGAAGGAACAACAAAGAATCTTCTTTGTCTGATTTAGAAGATATAATATTGTATACAACTGACACAGTATCTACTGTAAGCTCCTTTATTGACATTTATTCTCCTGCAGCCACTGTTTTTAATAAGGAGAATTTTTTGCTAAGGTAAATCTTAACGTTTCTGGTCAACACTCTAATGAAAATTATATATTAAGTACCCACCTTAATAGCATAGAACGTCTTAAAACGTTTTTAGAACTTTTTTTCAACGTTTTTAAGACTTACAGATGTTTTGACAACGTTTTGAAAACCTTGTGGGTAAAAGTGTAGTTTAGCCCAACTTTCGAGAAGTTATCTTGAAAAAAGACAGTGCTACCATAAGGTGCCTAATTCAAAAGTGTAAGGTATTTAACAGCGGAAAGTTGTGAAAAATAACCAAATTCTATCGATATTTTTGCAATAAATAAAAAAAGGTTATAAATATAATCAGTAATAGCTTCCTAGCGAGTTTCACTCGCTCGTTAGCGTTGTAATTAATTAAATAATCTGCCACTTTTTCAGCCTCTCCTAAATTAAAAGTTAGTAGCACTGTCGTTACAAGCATGTTATGAAGCCAACTTCTCAAAGGGTGGGCTAAACTACAAATCCGCCGAAAATTATTTTATTTTTCTCTGCATGATGGCCACTCTCACATGTTGCCCAAGAGCCAATTTGCGGAAAATGCCAAAATAGTTTCCTATTAGGCAGTAAATACGATTATTACGCGAGGAGACTATGTTGCACTTCCATCCCTGAAATGAAGGCATAAATAAAACCGACGATATACATTAGATTATTATTAGTATTGATTCTTTGTTTTATAAGATTTTTTTCAACCTACTAAAAGAGAAGCAAAATGTGATGTGTCCGGTAACTTAACGTCAAATCCAACGCATGACAAAATGCAGAGAGACATGTACACAGCTCAATAATTATAATTGAAAATTATTATAATATGACTTCTCAAAAAGACATGATCAGTACCTAAAGGTTTTTTNGATTCCATGAGTGATAATTTGTCACTAACTGCAAATTTATTGCATCCCATGTTTAAAGGTGAAAAAATAAAATACAACCATGAATTCAAAAAAAAAAAATCATGGTATGCATAGTTTCGGAGCTAAGCGAAAAAGGAGTAAAAAGTTATTTTCAGTACTGTGATAGAGTTGATTTTTTTAAAACTTTGTTTGATAAGAATATTCAATCTTATTCTACTTTTTGGCGATCATGTGTAAATGAACACCCAGATTTAGTCAACTTTGCTCTAAAAATACTGAGAATTCCAGCATTTGGAAATTCTGGAAAAATTGAAAAATTGACTAACAATATACAAAATGTAGAAGAAAAAAAAGCTCTTGAATTCTACACTGTATACACAGTGACGCGTTTCTAACTTTTTTAGTTTTCGCTTTAAACTTTATTTTTATTTTGTTAATTTTTGGTAATGAGTATGAAAAATAGCTCTTTTTGTACTAATAGAAAAAATAGAATTTGCATCTTGAAAAGTATACAAAATTGACATGTTTGTACATAAAGTAATACGATACTCATTCACTCATATGTAATGAATAGTGTATACTCATATTAGTGAATGAGTATCGTATTACTTTATGTACAAACATGTCAATGTTGTATACTTTTCAAGATGCAAATTCTATTTTTTCTATTAGTACAAAAAGAGCTATTTTTCATACTCATTACCAAAAATTAACAAAATAAAAATAAAGTTTAAAGCGAAAACTAAAAAAGTTAGAAACGCGTCACTGTGTATACAGTGTAGAATTCAAGAGCTTTTTTTTCTTCTACATTTTGTATATTGTTAGTCAATTTTTCAATTTTTCCAGAATTTCCAAATGCTGGAATTCTCAGTATTTTTAGAGCAAAGTTGACTAAATCTGGGTGTTCATTTACACATGATCGCCAAAAAGTAGAATAAGATTGAATATTCTTATCAAACAAAGTTTTAAAAAAATCAACTCTATCACAGTACTGAAAATAACTTTTTACTCCTTTTTCGCTTAGCTCCGAAACTATGCATACCATGATTTTTTTTTTTTGAATTCATGGTTGTATTTTATTTTTTCACCTTTAAACATGGGATGCAATAAATTTGCAGTTAGTGACAAATTATCACTCATGGAATCTATAAATTCTGTAACACAAGCCGCTCCCGTTTCATTTTTAATTTGAAACTTCAGATCTAACCAATCTTCAAGTTTGCAAGCTTTAACATAATTATTATTACGCTTGTTATGCGTATTAAAAATAAAATGAAAAATAATTTAGTATNTAAGCTGACACTCTCTGCACCGATGGTGCATCGGGTCCACTCATCACTGTTTAGCCTTTCCCCGGAGAAGACTCCATTATTCCAGGACGTCCACTCCTCACCGGTTAAGCTGGCGCTCTCTGCCGAAGCATCGGATCCAGGCTAATTAGCATCCCTGGAGAAGCCCCGTGTTTCAGGGGCCACTCCTCGCCGGTAAGGCCGGCGATCCCTGCCCAACGCCTGGCATCGGGTCCGCTAATCCCTACCTATAGCCCTATCACTTCTTCGCATTCACCCAGGCCCGAAAACCTGTGGGGCAAGGAAAAAACCCTGGAATTACTCTGAAGTAAAATTCCACGTAAAAACCCGCCCCGAAACAGTTGGGGTTACATAAGAACTTTTCCCGATGAAAACAGTTTTTGCAAAAATCTGCATTCACCGGGAATCGAACCCACGACCCCTAGAACTGCGTTGTATCAGTAACAAGCACGCTTACCACTGAGCCAACGCCGCTCTCCTAAAGGTTTTTATTTAACTCATTCATTAACTCATTGAATCATTAGGATAAGCTCTTCAAGTCAATAATTTATTTTAAAAACCAAGTTTGGTGGCAGTAAGCACGTTGGGTCATTAGGTTAAACTGCTCGAGTTATTACTTATTTAAATGAACAAGCGCCCTGGTAGTAAGCGCACCGGGTCATTGAGTTTTGCTGCTTGAGTTAATAATTTATTTAAAAAACTAATTGCGCTTGCAGTAAGCGCGCCGGGTCATTCGGTTAAACTGCTCGAATTAATATTAATTAAAATAAACTAGCACGCTGGTAGTAAGTGCGCCGGGTCATTGGGTTTTAAGTATTTGGGTAGATATTTTCGGGCTTTGCGCGCTAGGTCTTTAAGTTTGAGGTGTTTGAACGACGCTCAAGTACTCGGCCAATGAGAGATCGCCTGCGCCGAAGTGTGCGCGAGTTCTCAGTTCGATATCGGAGCACTGATCTATGCCGATAACCGTTACCTTCTGAGTAGCATGACAGAATGTCTTTTCATCACTTGCTCATATATTACTGACTTTTGATGCGAAACTATTGTAATACACGTCCAAACTATAATTGAAGGGCCGGATCGAAGAATGGGATGTGCGCGTGAACTCTCGTGTTCTAGCCCCTAAAGTATGCAACTAGATACACTTCCTCACTGATGCCGATTTTTCAACTTTGCATTAAAAAAAAATACATAAAACGCCAAATCTCAGAATACTTTCAGCGAGAAAGTTTCTTCTATGTAAAAAACGAATACATTCCCGCAAGCAGATTATTGTTTTTTTTTTTCAATCAAAAGTTATGGCGAGTTGAAAGAAGCTCGATCAAGTTTACACTATACGCTGCACTACTAGCTATATATAGATGCAGAGCAGACGCCGCGCAGTGGTATATAGATAATATTCTTTTTAGAGTGTGTTTATATTCTGCAGTAACGTCTTTTTCTTGCTAATCATTGTTACGATTTAACGTATAATAAATTACCGTAAACGTATAATACAGTTATGTTAAATTAGTTTTTAACAATGTTAAAAACGAGAAAAAAACGACAAGACAAGCTCCTAAAAAGACAGTAAAAAAAAAACAAATAAAATAAAAACGTAACAGTNGCTTGGGATAGCTTCGCACATAATCCTATATATATATATAAATATGCCAGTAGATGCAGCCAATTGATGAAACGCAAAAATCCCCTATAAATTAAATGATTTATAGCAATATCAACAAATCGATTTTTCTCAACGGTAAATAGATCATGATAACAATTAAATGATAGAGCAATTTTTTTGATAAAGAGAGCAGTTTTTTACAACAAGAATCATTACGAAATATTGTTTGTTAACTGAGGTATTGACTTGCGAAGTGTTGCCTCTCACAGGGCACTTTAATTTGCGTTAACTAAATAAATAAAAGGAAGCAGTTTTTGTTACTTGCATTTTCGAAAAGAGCAGTTTCTAATACGTTGTTTAAATACATTTGTTTATTCCATTTTTAATTTTCTGCGGCTGGGGTCTGGCCCGACCGGGGTGGCGTTGGTTTGGTGGATTCATAGAGAAATGGAGTGGTGCCACCACTGTGGTGGTCATTTCTTGACGGGAGCGCGCTTTTTCAGGCAGAGTGCAGAGTCAGAGATTAGTAGGGAGATTGCTGACTGCCATGCTACGGAGTGTGCCCACATTTTTCCAGTGGTTCGAGCGCCCCGCCGCGTCCAAGCGGCCGAACCAGGCGCACATTTTTTTTTNTATAATAAATTACCGTAAACGTATAATACAGTAGCAGAAAGTATTCGATAGTGTGAAAAAATATACATTGTTCAGTACATCGTAAACAGCTTTTGTAGGTATTAATCTATATGTATTTACTTCGTATGTATTAAAAAATATTAATATCCTAACCGAAGTGTACGATAGGTATGGTTGGACTTGAATCAAAAAAAGGACGGAAGCGGTTAAGAAATGAACACCGTTGGCAATCAAATGTTGCAAAGGCTGCTCGTATCAGCGTAAATAATATTTTCACGTAACTAACGAATTTTGGTATGATTCAGAAAATCTCTGCTTCTGTTTTTTTCGTGATGTTATTCATTTAGTTACTTCGTGATACATACATACTTTTCCATTTCTGTTGATGTTTATTAGCATTTCTTTGAATAAATAGTTAAAAAAAATTTTAATAACATTATATGATGAAATAGGGCAAAGCGTACACATCATCGTCTCAAAAGGCTATACCTGAAAAATGTTTCACAGCAATGACATTTTGCTGCCGTAAGGAATGCTTCAAAATTGTAGAAGTAGCTGATCAGCGAAGGATTCATGATAATTTTTGGGGCTATGGAGATTATCAGTGTCAAAACGTATTGATTCAGTCTATGCTGAGAAAGAAAAATACCACAGTAAGTAGTGGAAATCCGGTTAAAAGCAGCCCACAGAAATGGGAATACATATTTCCTACTGAAGCATCTAACGTAGTCGTGTGTAAAAGATTTTTGTGTAATGTTTTAAACGTTGATAAAAAAAAAATCGAGGTTGTGCAGTCTAAAATAATACTCCATCAGCCATTTACAGATGGGCGTGGTAAACATGAACATCACGTAGAAAAATTGACTGATGATGTAAAGCGCCTCATTCAGTTACATTGTGAAAGCTTGCCTCATTCGCAGTCTCACTAAGTACTGTCGTCAAGATACAAAATTGAATTACTTTCGCGACTCAAGTTTAACTTTACATCGCCTCTACGACTTGTTCTTAGATTATTATTAATCTGTGACGGGAGACTGTTCGATTCCAATTGGCGAATCATGCTACGATAAGTATTTCAATCACAATGTTAATTTTTCTTTTACTTTGCCTCGCACTGACGTGTGTAATACTTGTTACGAAAGCGATAATCTTGGAAAGAAAGGAGACTCTTACGTAAAGCATAAAAATGCAATTAAAAAATACGAAGTTGTAAAAGATCGCATGCTTAAAGAGAAAGATGGAGTGTTGCACGCTGTGTTTGATTTCGGACAAAATTTACCCTTGCCTAAACTTCCAGTGAATTCTCAATTCTATTGCCGCTTACTATGGCTTCAAATTTTCAATGTTCACATTGATTTTTCTCAGTCTAGTTACATGTATTACTTTGTCGAGGGTACATTAAAAAAAGGATCAAACACAGTGTGCAACTTACTTTATCATGCATTGCGAACGGAATTACAAGCGAATGGATATAACAAAATTTTTTTAAAATCCGATGCTGCTGGTAGTCAGAATAGAAACTATTTAATGGTTTTTTCTTATCGATGCTATCTAAAAAATATCAAGTTTTCATCGAGCATCTTTACCCAGTTCGTGGTCACTCTTATTGCGAATGTGACAGAAACTTTGGAAAATATGGCGAGAAAAAAAAACGGCAGGAGGTGGTTGAAACACCAGAAGACTATGTAGAGATGATTAAAAATTCGAGAGTACCTCCGTTTACAATGGTTGACGCTGCTCAGTGCGAAGTGAAAAATTTTGAATCCATTTTGAAAAAAAATAAGCATATTGAGCAAATAAAAATAAGTTCTGTGGTCAAAATTGATTATTTTCCTAATGGTCAAGTAGATTTCTATTACGAGTATGATGGGAAACCCACATCATTTTTTTGTAATTTGGATGTATCTTTTAATGATTTAGAAAGCACGCCACCTGCAAATGCTATTGAAATTTCGAAAGCAAAGTTAAAAGATTTACAAGTTTTACAAAAGTTTTTGAGTGAAAAGGGACAAGCTTTTTATAATGATTTTTTCAAAAGCACCCTCATACGTGATCCTAACATTGAGAATGTAAATAGTGTAAAAACCGAGAAGAAACCTGTTGATCTGAAAGTGAAGCTGAAAAAAACACAAAATGTTAAAAACGAGAAAAAAACGACAAGACAAGCTCCTAAAAAGACAGTTAAAAAAAAAACAAATAAAATAAAAACGTAACAGTGAATAATATGGTTTCGTAAATATTATAATAATGCATTCAATATTTCTTCTCGTCGTGTAAATGTTGGATAAAACTTATTTCTATTCTGTTTCAGTTATCTTTGTTCCTTTTTTGTAAATACTTATTTACTTATAAGTTCACTATTACCAAATACATCTTTCAAGCATACTAAACAACAGAAATTTATAAATAATTTGATTACATTTAGTATCAATGCATGTATAGTACGTTTGGTATCTTATTAAATTATGGTAATTAATAATAACGTTATACTTGTCTTATTAATTTATAATATAACATAATACTTATTCATATTAACAAAAGAAGTTGTAGCTACCTAATACATTATAATAATAATTTTTGTTATATTTATCAATTTCATTATTATTGCCACTAATGTAATTCCTATTATTATTATACAGCCAGATGGAATAACTACGTACCGACAGAATTAGACGTACAACACTGCGCGGCGTCTGCTCTACACCTATATATAGCTAGTAGTGCAGCGTATAGTGTAAACTCGATCGAGCTTCTTTCAACTCGCCATAACTTTTGATTGAAAAAAAAAAAACAATAATCTGCTTGCGGGAATGTATTCGTTTTTTACATAGAAGAAACTTTCTCGCTGAAAGTGTTCTGAGATTTGGCGTTGTATGTATTTTTTTTTAATGCAAAGTTGAAAAATCGGTATCAGTGAGGAAGTGTATCTGGTTGCATACTTTAGGGGCTCGTACACGAGAGTTCACGCGCACATCCCATTCTTCGATCCGGCCCTTCAATTACTGTTTAACTTTACTGGCTCTCCCATAAATCAATGCAGAAGTTAAACGAATATACTTGATGATAAACATGATAAAATCATGAATAAATTTTCTGTTATCTATGTTTAATTCTATACTTAAAATAAGGATAAGGTAAATGTCCTAATGATCGCTGACTTAAACAGAAGAAATGTCCCAATTATCGGTCGCTTTATTTTTTTTATAGGCCTTGGATATATTTTCAATGAATAACAAAGTAAATTTTTACTAAAAAAATGATTTATTAGTTCCCCAATAACAGATTATTTATATTTGAAAAAATTGATGGTAAGATATAAAGAAAAATAATCGATAATTGGGAAATGAGCGATAATTGCGACACTCACCTTAACGCTTACTTCTTCAAACACTTATGTTTGGATTCCATTTTGCCTGGAAGAACGTTTAAAGATCAATAGTTAAACCATTAAACAAGAAAGAGAAACTGATTCTTAAATATTATTTTCTGTTCGTGTAAGTATGTTGTTCCAAAACAAAATAAAACTATAGTCTTGTGAGATTTTGATTATACAACTTTGCAAGGCTTCCGGTTCATATGAAAGAATGCAATTTATAAAGCTTTATAAAGGCTTCAGGAGTTCTTTATATATTTTTATTCCAACATATCCAACTTACCTGATTGCTTCCTGTTGTCAAAAGGATAATTTCACGGGATTAAGTTAACATTGTACTGAAAATGTTACGTAACATACTGTATTTTGTATACTTTTTGTTGAATATATTTTACGTAACGTCTGGGCCTATGTATACTTTTCACATAGATATTTGAGAAACTGTGAGTGAATTAAAATTTGATACCAAGGATAAATCAATATTTGAAGTTCATAATAATCAAACTAAATGTAAAAATCTCTACGAGTATTGTTTTTGGTTCAAAATGTTTGAGCAGCTCTGGAAACGAAAGTTGTTAAACCAGTAACTAAGATCGAACAAGTGTAGCAAACGAACAAACCTGGTACGCAGCGATAGTTCCTACGCTCCCTGTGATGGATGACGCAAATCTTGCCGGCCGAGCAGGGATTGTTCTTGCAGGGCACATTGATGTCCTCGTCTATGCCAAGCGGGGGCTCGTTCTGCTCCCTCGGGTCCTCGAGGAAGGGCTTGATGGAGACACAGGGCATGCCGGGCTTCGGTGGCGAGAGCTTCGAGCACAGGGTAGCGGCGTTGTGGCCTCGCACGGCAGACCAGTCGACGCAGCTGGTCATTAGTTCGATGCAGTCCTCCCGGCAGAGCCTCGTCTCATGGATGCGCGACTCGCACGGGCGCAGTTGAAGCAGGCAGGCTGCTGCTCGAAGGGTCGTCGCGGGACAGGAGGTTGCGGCGCGTACTGGCACGCCGAGCCCTGATATTATGCCGCCACGGAGCCAGTGGTCTAACTCCCATTTGGCTGAGTCGTCGGCTGCTGCTGTGCAGGTTCTACGTACAGGTCATTAATAATAATAATAATTGGTGATAAGTGTGATAATGTGCAAGAGAATACGGCTTAAAAAAAATATGTTCTTAGTAGTTCTTAACAAAAAATTAACTTTTTTTAAAAATGTACATGGGAATGTTATTTAAATAAATGATTCGTGTGCCTTGTCTTTTGCTTTCCACTTCAACCTTCTTTTGTATTTACAAATTCTTTGACTCTTTCAATCTTTGCAACATGACTTGGCTTAAAACGGTCTAGCTTACAGATTACAGGTTATTAAATAAAGGAAAATAATTTCTTTAATACCAACTATAATTCTATTTCATCGTGGGCTGCTAAAACAGTAGTTTTCGTCATAGAAGTGTCACCGATGCAGGGGCTATTTTGCGGTCCGAGGGTAGCCCTGGTTGGATGGCGCTCATGTCGAGCTTGGCTCATGTGGCCAATCGTACTTTTCCGACTAAGGGCATGCAGTAAGCGTCCAAATGTTATGAAAGACGCCCCGAGATAAGTAACATTTTATGTCTAAATCGGAGAGTTTTTTGTGACGTTTGGACATTTACTGTGACCTCGGTCGGAAAAATAGCCATTGTTACTCATGCGCCACTTGGCCAGTGCTCAGTGATAGTCCTGAAAAGATGTCCACCAGTGACGAAAACTACGATTTTATCTACAAATTTTCTCGTACACACAGTAAGTAAATACTCATGGTTCAGGTAGAAATACAATCATAGGTGTAAGTATTTTGTTTGCAATGTAAGTGTTGTTTGGTCAAACGAAGTTGTTTAATTTTCATGTGTGTGTAAGTTAATTCAACTGTTCGAATTTGTTGCTACATTTAATTCTAAAAATGTATTCTATTTTTTCTAGTGGGAAGCACATTAAACGGATAAATGTGATAAACAACACACATTAATTTTATCATTTATTTTATATAATTACTTTCGTTAATTTTCCGAGTTGTATGTTGGCTGCACTAAATCAGCCAATATTCTTATACTTTTGATTTTCTGACAAAAATAATATACTTGAAACAAAAATATTTTGCAAGTGCTTCTTTATTAAAGATAAGTCATGACATGATAAACAAATTTTTTACTTATCGAAATCAATGAATGGCCCCATTTAATAAACAATCATGACTGGAGATGATACTCCCGTAATTTTGCAAGTTACTTGAAGAAATTTTAAAAACGCGCCTGATCGAACTCGTTAGTTTCGTCCTATAGCTATACTAGTAGGAGCTTAGTAATCGGAATGTACAAATTTCAATGAGTGTTCAAGAAAAAAAGAGTCATCTATCAAAACTGAATGAACTGATCCATCTCTCATGCCACCAATTAGAGAAATAAAAAAATGAACCTAAAAAGCGTAGTCGGCCGATCGTTGAAGTTGGAACAAAAAGACAGCCCGGCGCAGCCGATCTCGCACGAGTCCTCAGCCTCCTCGAGGCATCTCCTAAGCTCGTTCTCCAGGCTCGAGCTCAGGCATGTGCTCTCAAGTTGCTGCCAGGCTGACCAGTCCGTGTGGAAGGCTCGCCAGCAAAGGCTCTGGCACCCGCGGCGGGAGGCTCTGGTGCAGCAGCTCAGTTTTGCTGCGTTCAGGGGCAGCCGCTGGGGCTTGGCACCACTTGATGGCGAGGCAGACTTCAGGAAGCAGCCCCAGAGCGGTGAGTGGGGCATTATGGGGCCGCAGGGCTCTTCCAAGGCATCGAGCATGTCATGAATTGCAGGGGAGGTGTGGAGGGCACGTCGGCAACTCTCCAGGCAGCTAGGGGTTGACGCCTGCTCGCAACAGTGGAGATCTGTGGGCAGTGAGCAGGAATTGAAATTACCCGTCAGTTGATAGTACTCACTCTTTGGCTTATGTAAACTATAATCAATATATGGTGGACTCAATTTGCGTTCGATTTGGAAAAGACGGTATAGTTCAAACCTTGGCAGAAAACGTCATTGTATGCTTTATTACAATGAAAGGTTTGTAACTTACAGTTAATAAAAATCAAAGCTAACAAAGAGTTAACTGCAGTGACACAGTGTCTTCTGTGTGAAACCTATAATTGGTTTTCTGTCCGCACTGTCAGTACACATCTGATTTCTAAGTACAATTGAGTATAGGTACACGAAATTAATACTGCCAATAGAAATTCCTCTTTTTATCATAACGTACTACGTACATTGGCAATCATGTATGATTAACTTTGTATAGATCCAATGCTGTTAAAGTTATGGTGAAATAATTTTTTAAATTGACCACATGTTTTAATGTTATTCATGAAGAAAAAAAGTTGTATCGTTAGATTACTGTGTGTTATATGCAAAATGTTAGAACAATAATTTACTTGTATTTTAAAACATTACAGCTGCTACATCGTTAACAATGTTAACTTATCTTTTCAGGATTTACATGCAAGCATCGGTAGTGCTGATGATGACTTGGTTGGTTTAATAACTTCTCTTGCACAATAAGGTATAAAACTAAGTAAGTTGAATTCTAGATTTTAAAATATTAAGTTTTTGAAAATGAATCATCATCTTTAACAATTCATGGTTTAAAAAATGGGGTTAAATATATAACAGCTCTACCTCAAATGAAAACTTTGAATGAACTACAACCTTAAGACGAATGTAGAGTATTTTTATACATAAAAAGTTTTTCCATGAATGCTTTAAAAGATTATTTGCTTTAGCTTATACCCATATCAAAGCTTTAAAAAACTTTTATTTTCATAACTATCTTTGAAGGTTGAAAAATATTTGGATCAATTTTCTGCAAATACATAGAAAATTATTAACTTTCATAAGAAATTAGTCGCGTTTCTCTTAATGCAAAATTGACCAACGTTATAAGTATTTATTAACTTTCAAATAACAACTATTGTTAAAATGCTGAGTTGAAATAAAAAAAAAAAAATTTTCATAGCATTAACATTACTTGTATTTTTGACAAAACGCCGATGGATTTTTGGATCCATTTTTTTTACGCTTTGTGCAGGCAAGTGAATTTTTTTTATTCAAAATTAAATTGGGATGTCATTTTTAGAAATAAATGAAAAAGTTTGTGCTTGATTCAAGCTACTTATATCCACTCAAACCTCCTGAAAGCTGGATGATCGAAAAGGATTGATAAACTCCTTTTGAATGACACTGGAACTTTTTGATATATTTTTTTCTACAGTTAAATTTGGTTAGAACTTTTGTTGCGATATCTTGTTACAGGTGATGACATCATGTTTCTAGATTTCTTTTTTGTCATAAGCCCTTTCTTAGTGTGAAAAATATAATTGTCGAGACTTGTAAATAAATATGGGATTGCTAGGTTTGCATTGGATTCCAGTCACAATTTACTAAAAATGAGTTGATATAAATTGCCGAAGAATATGACACTGTGTAATTTTCCACGTTGCTTGCAGTACGTAAATAATAAATTAATCAGACTGGAGATAACTTTTGTAGTGAAATTTTTTATTTAATAGAAACCAAGATAGTTGTATAAAGGATTATTATTTTTCTGGTGGGACTTTATATTTTTTTATATTATAATTTTAGATTATAAAGGACATAACAGGATTCGTCTCATAACATAGTGTTGATGCTTCCAAAAAATTTATCATTGTAGTTCTGGAGCTAGAGTTTTATCACGACTTTTAATATACCTACCGCAAAAAGTTTTTCTCAATGTAACCAAAAATGACGATAATGTGCATGCGCAGCTTAGGAACTATTGAAAAAAATTCTCACTTTTGCGAGATCTCGAAAATCATAATAAAAATAAAGCTCGTGGGGGTTCAACGGTAGCAATTGATACATGTAATATCCTATATGTCGATTGCTCGATACTTACTAAGTCGTCATCACTAGAAAGTAGTAGAGTATAATAAGTTTAATAGGTTTCTTAACGTGTATATGTTTGATAATTTACTTAACGTCAGTTTAGATTGATGACTTCTACAGAGTTTATAAAGATTTACTAGAAAAATTATGCTTTATTATACTCTTGTGCACATGACGAATTTTTGAGTAATCGATAAGATATGTCGACAAAGTGATGGTGGGATCTTTCATAACAGCACCGCTGGAAAACTATTGACGCAAAAATCATATTTGAGAGGGTCAAACTTTGACCTGAAAAAAACAGTACATAACTATAGGCAATCTAGAAAAAGGCAAACAGTTGAGTGTGCTTTTGGAGAAATGACTAGCAGCATCTGGAAGCTTCCCAGATCGAGGTCAGAAATAAGATTACAAAACATGATAAAAAGTAAATGCTTGCATTTATTTGCAAAACAATTTAATTATGTCAAATGAAGAAGATCAAGACATGGATGTATCGGCTGATGTTAGACAGTGTTTGTCACATGATCATAATATGGAACTCGAGTGGCAGGGGAGCAATATACGTTCAAAAACCAAGAGCATTCAAACGCTCACAATAGGACTACAATAGGAAGTAAAGTAACGAGCATCGGCATTATGTTAATAATATCCTTTCTTAATAAGAAGAATAAAACGTGACTGAAGCCTTTTATTCGTGGTGTGATTGGCTTAGGCTGATTATGAGTGGATAAATTCAAAAGTTTGATTTTGAAAAAAAAAAAAATTACATTTCGCTTGTAGTAACGAGTACACTTCTATTTACTAATGCCTTGGATGGCTTCTGATATCCTTGAATAGAGATTCGGAGGACTTTTTTTACCATAGTATTCATATGTAATTTTTTTTTTCATATTTTACAGCCACTCTGACAAACTGTGCTAATAACGGCACTTTGAATCCATTGTGATATCATCATGGCAACCGCTTTAATTTTAATTGTGAATCAATCACTTACACAGCGAAGAGGACCTTATTTCACATGGCTTCCAGACCATTGAACCAAATTTAAGGTGCGATCCAAGTGAGTAAAGAAAAGGCTTGATCTCGAACTCATAATCGTAAACATGTGTTGCTAAGCACCCAAGCTACAAGAATTGCAGCCTAAACTATACAGTGCTACCGTGGCCGTCATACATATAGTTATACTATTAGTTAATACTCTGTTGTTAATATTAGTTATAATATTAGTTAATACTAATATTAGTAAATACTCTGTTGAAAAACCTCACATAGCTTTGGATCTTCGGTAGCTTTGGTCTCAGCGACGCTTTTCAGGCACTTAGGTACTTGATGAAAACAACCCTTGCTCCCGTAAGCCTTAAGAGCCGACTGCCTGCTCGTATGGTCGTGAAAGAGTTCCGTGCAGTGGGCACGACAGGTCGCGTTGGTGACGCTTGCGCAGCAGCTCTCTGCATCCGCTCGCTGCTCCAGGCAGTCGGCCAGTTGGGGTTCGTCGCTCCACCGGCAATTTTTCAGGTCCTCTGGGCTACCGGCTTGGGCACAATTTGCCCGGCACAAGGGGTTCCGGGCGAGCCGGCAACAGCTACGGCCTGTCCAGTTCTCGTGACGCTTCACTTCTGTAACCATTAAGTAGAAATTTATTATTGAAGCTATACTTCTATAGACTCGTTATGTGCGGGGATAAATCAATGATTTCAGATTTTGACCTTGTAGAAAAAGTGTGACGGAAGTGAATTTTGCTTGATTCTCACCCTTCACTTCGCCCCCCATGATGTACTTCCGGTTTCCTCTACACCACACGATGTCACATTACATCACCATGCCACACATTTTAAATTTCATGAATTTTATTTCTTTTTCTGTGAACCAACTCTTAAAAAAAANTACTGCACGCACAGCTTGGTGTCACATCTTTGAGAGGACGCTGAAGCACGCCATGGGTGCGAAACTATCGACAATAGATCCCTCACTTGTACGAGATAAACAGTTTCCCAAGAGATTCAAACCTCTGACCTCCAACTTACTACTCATAAGGGTCTTACGGCCCTTACCTACTCTGCTATGCACTGAGAGAAAAATGTAGTAAATTCTACGTTAATGTTTGGTTGTTGCTACTATATAGTAAGAAACTGACGTAGCAGCGTCTGCTATAAAGTGTGGTTGGTACTGCTATACTCACATGGTAGTGGCAGTTTAGTTGCGCGTACCAGAAACTCTGGCAGCTACTACCAGAGTCTGTATAGTGGCGACAGCCAGACTACGCAAAGTACACATTACCAAAACATAAAAACAGCGCTTACTATATATATACGGAGAGTACAGAGTATCGCATGAAAGTATATCATATACGTCGTGGCGATGCTTATACTGACAATAACAGTATATTACAATATACTATAATATATAAGTAACTCTGTTCTTCTGCAATGCAGCGAGTGTGTTTGTTTCTAATAAGATGTCCTAACCTCTAAACAAGTTTAATAGGTAAACATGTTGCTAAAGGCGATTCTTGTGTTTTATGTTCACAATAAAGTCAAAACATTCATTGAAATTAATCTAGATAGAATCTAAATATTCAAGAGTGTACTTTAGTACTAAAAGAGAAAACAAATTTTGTTTGTACTAAGTACAGATTGTAAAATTTCTTTTATTTTTGTAAATAAATACAATTATCAAAACAAGTATGTGAAAACACTTTTTTTTAAAGAATAATGAAAGTTCAAATAATGGATACTCTGCAAAGTTCAAGTGCTTCTCGTACTTGAATAACTTATAACTGATAATTAATAGATTAATACCTACTAAAGTTTTCTATTCCGATAAATATTTTGTAGAACCCGCTGTAAGGAGTAAGCGACATGTACCGAACAACAGGAACGGAGCACTGGACCAAAAGTCATTAGACAAAAGTTATTAGATTCTCTCACTCAATAATTAAATTCATCATTTACAAACTTTGTGACATTTAATTACATTAATTTATATACCTCCGTAATCCGTAAATGAGGAGGAATCGAATCGTACAGGTAAAATTGGATTTTAACCCAATTTAGCACTTAAAACAAAGTTTTTTATACTTCAGCGCCGCGCCCATTTTCGACTTTTTATTTTGCAAATATCTCGCAAACTATTGATCCGCAAATAAAAATTCAAGTGGAGGATAAATCCGCAAGTAAGGAGGAATCGTTTAAGCCCTGAATGGGTGCAAAATATTAATATTTAATATTTACGGGCGCCAACTTCACAAGTCTGTAGCTACCAGAGTTTCTGGTACGCGCAACCAAACTGCCACTACCATGTGAGTATAGCAGTACCAACCACACTTTATAGCAGACGCTGCTACGTCAGTTTCTCAGTGTACGTAACTGTAGTAAGGGGATTAGAGTTACGTTGGCTAACTCTGTGTAGTAGTTTCTACTACGAAGAGTAGAGTAGTTAGCTTTTAGTTAACAACTAATTAATGGTATCAATTATATACATGAAATGTAAAGTATAAAGTCGATCTTTTGTTGAGACCAAAATGTAAACAAAATTTTTTTACACTTTATACCGGAAAAAGCGAAAATAAGTTGAAATTTTTTATAACCTCAAAAATACCTGTTTTTTGTACCAAACGTTGCATTGATGACACTGTATGAATTTAAAAAAATGGCTACTGAGATGTGGTTAAAGAAAATTAATGCAGTTATTATGTAACAGTTAACAAAATATAAATTTTTTTGCCTGGTTATCGATAGAGCTCATGCAGTAGCTTTTCCTTGGCTCGTATACATATACATATATGTGTTTTTGTCTTATTCGGCATTGCGTGCTTCAACCACAGCGTGTAGTTGAATTTACTACACAGCGTTAGTAAACCGCCTTAAAAGTCGTGTAGTAGTTGTTACGGAATGATAATAGTTGCGCTCACTGCTTTTTTCTCTCAGTGTGGGCAATGGCCCTAAATATCTTGTTTGTCATACGTTTGATGGAAACCTCCATAACATGTTACTTGTTTGGAAATAGTTTTAATCTTAATTTAAAATTTTTTATTTTAAATAATGAAAATATGCGGCAAACTGTCAATCATTTTAAATTTTTCAGTATGCCATCATTTTTTTAATCATTTTACGAACGTGTTAGTGAAACTTTTTGAAATTTATCGTAGAAAACTAAGTAAGTATTTAGCATAGGGCATTAAAGTATTTGTTATCATTTTGATTAATACTGTTTCATAATAACCGAAGATCAATATTTTTTAAGCTACTAATTTATTTTAAATTGCAGGAGCTTTCTTACATTATACTGATGTTCTAGACTACGTTAAACTATAATTTGCATATTGAAACATTGTTTTAACAAGATACATGATCACAAAATTTTTATTTCAAGCTTCATTAAATTTTCGTCCTAACAGTTTAAAAGTTTCAATCCCTGAGTTAAATTGTAAATATGTGTGTAGTATCTCTAGTCGACTACTGGGCCATAATGGTTAGGGGTTTAAAGTATATTTATCTAGGCTAACAACCCTCAATTCTCAAACATTTTTTAAATTTGACAAATTGTTTCTTAATGAGTAATAGAAGTATTTCATGACATCGTCAATAAAAGTAGTAAGAAAATGATTTCAATCGATAAAAAAAAATAATACTTATATAGATGACGTTATCTGAGCGCCCCAAAATTAAAAAAAATGAAAGGTGACGAGAATAATTTAGTACGAATAAGTAAGAAGAGAATACACAAAACAAGAAAAAATATTAAGAGTAGCCTACTAGAGTTACCTAGTTAAGCCTAATTTAAAGAGTAGCCTACTGTTTAACTATATAAAATTGAATCATAGAAAAAAATAATACAAAAACCATCGTTGAAAACGGAGAAATAGTACTGTAAAATCTCACGAGAAAAAGTGTATAATGTAATAAAAATTAGCCTCTGAAAAAAATTAAATTTTTAAACAGTATTTCAAAAAAAAAGTTAAATTTTATCAACATCAGCTTTTAAAAATGGTATAAAAATGTAATACATGTTTACGAGTTGTTCACATTTTTTCCAAATTCTCTTCCAAAAAAGAAGTGAGATCCACAATAATTTTCTGCCAAGCTTAAATATGCTCAAATCATCGTAGCAAAAACTACACGTGTAAGAAAATTCGTTTATTTTTTATAAGCTGTAGCAATAATTTTGAGAATATTTTTAAGCAACGGATGGTTTTTATTGAATCGTATACACGTCTTACCCCTTGTAAATGTCTTGGAAGACAAAAAAAAAAAAAAAAAAATATGTAAAGGGTTATACCTATGTAGTATGCGTCCGAAATGATAGAGAAACACGAGCCGATTTTGGGTGATACCTGCTTGCCTGTGGCGCGCTTACATGCACACTCAGTTCACCTTAGCTGAGCTACCCGCACTATAAATCAGAAGAGCTCCCTGTAGAGAGGAATATGGGAAAAAGAGACGTATGATATATCGTACTCGTACTGCACGCACAGCTTGGTGTCACATCTTTGAGAGGACGCTGAAGCACGCCATGGGTGCGAAACTATCGACAATAGATCCCTCACTTGTACGAGATGTACAACTTATAAAAAGAAAATACGTATATAAGTATATCCTAACATTCACGAATCAGTAAAAAATGCTTGTATGCCGGTAGATACTTAATCCATCGACATGCATATCTATTATTATGGTCTCAACATCACTTGCATGAGGATTTTTATGTAGGCTCTGTTGACAGAGCTGGCAGTGTGGAAAGAATTTTCAATTTTAATGTTGCCCGAGCAAAAAATATCTTAGTGAATAACCACTGATGAGTGATCAAAATCGATAAGAAGGAATAAAAAACTTTAGATTTGGACTGGAAGTAAAATTTAATAACTGTTGTTATTTGTTACTATTATAGTTACTAACTTTATTCAATTTTAATCAGAAATAACACCTTGGAAAGTAAAAAAAAACAAATAAATAAAAACTTATGAAAATTGCATTGAATTATAACTAACTGAAATTTATAGCCTATAATGTCTATTATTTTTAATTTATTTTTCAATTAACACACAATTTTTAAGTAAATGACAAAAATTCCTATAAATTACAATTGTTCATAAAAATTGCTTATTGCTATCATTTCATGATATAATACAGTCGCATTCGTTCATTCAATTTTCACGAAAAACCAAAAAAAAAAAAAAAACTACTATAACTACTGAAGAAATGATCATTATAATCTCAAATTTATGAGAGGGGGTAAATCCTACATCCGGAAATCCTACATGAGCATGCATATTTTACACAAGCAATTTAAACATTCCGTTATTTAACATTTGATGATTCTACACAAGTAAAAGTGCGATGTAGAACAATAGATATGTCGAAAGTATCTACATTTTGACATATTTAATGGGTGGAAAAAATTTTTTACTTATGGAGAACCAAGCGATGTAGAAAGTCAGCCAAACAAATTATATAAACGGTTAAGTATATTGCATAATTTATTCACATTTTTTTATCATGAAAAGTACTAAAGGTTCACAAATTTGTTAATTAAATTTCCTTAAATAATAACTTCTCTTATACCTCGGCCAATTTTGAGGGTCGGGTGTGCCCTCGGTGGGAAAAATAGGGTTCGCACCTACGAAAACTACCATTTTTTACCATGGGCACAAAGTGCAACTGCTGCTTTGCTCCCTCACTGAGAGATACTTTCCATTTACGTGCACAGTGTACGTTTGGCGTTCAGCCGCGTGGTGGCGTGTCAACACCCAACTAGCTGAGTGAATACCGAGC